ATTGTGGCCAGGGGCTGCTAAGAAATTGATGTTGTCTCTTTGTTTGAGAAACGGCTTAATTGGTGAAAGTTTCCTCTGGCGTTTAAATATGCGCCGGGTTTTTAACCTTTGTCTCTTTTGCCGTATTTGGTATTTTGGTTTTTCTGAATGATATATTGAAGGAAGGAATTGGCATATTTTGGTAAGACATGGTTGAGGCCTATGTGCTTCCGAAGCTTATTTGAGATTGGTCAATGAGCTGAAACATGGTTTTGTGCGAGGATCTTGTCCGAAGTAATAGTTGACACGTTGTTCCGGAGTTGTCCGTCCAAAGTCTTCATGACGTGACTCTGATGTAATGTTGATCTTTGCGGAGTATTTTTCTAAGGATGATTCTTGGTTTTTGGCTGCTTGAGAATTTGGTGACGACATTTTCTCGAGAGGGATGATTGTTAAGACTCTAGTGAAGTTCCAACAAAAACAGTCGTGGATTAAGGAGGAAGAGTAACTTGAAATTTGAATATTCAATCGATCGGGAAGTTGAGATGATTTGTGAATATGAAAGATGAATGGTTTTGGTTTTGTTCCGTTTTACCTGGCGATATGTACGGAAGGTTCGTAGATCGTATCTCGTACCGAGTAGGGGGGCTGTTTGTGTATGTACTCGGCAGGATACAGATCTCCGGGATATCCGAGGGGGTACGCAGATATGATAGGTTTGGGTACATGCAGACGTGTGTGCAGCAGCAGGTCCTTCTTGCCTGCTGCTCATGCTTGTCACTCGTTAATAATCAAGGAACTTGAGTCAAACGCTCTCGACAAGAGCCCGCGAGCGTGATAACATAGCACACGCGCCGACACCACAAACATCAGCGCTCCTTATGTCTGGGTAATTCTCTTCTTCGCTGCCCTCTCGACGCCATCCGCCCTCCTTGAACGGATCCCGTCTTCTCACGAAGCGGTGTCCACGACGCGTGACAAAGCCCTCTCCCACAAACGTCCATCCCTCCCGCCGTGTACCCGCCCCTATCCACGGGCGAAGGTGTGCACCATCCCGCAACTCCGCTCGGGTGAAATCTTCTACCTGGTCAAGCACCTGCGTGACGTTNACTTCTACCCGGTCAAGCACCTGCGTGATGTCGCGAAGATCGGTCTCAGATGCATCTCCCACCTGTTCCCAAACTCGAACCACCCCATCCTGCACAAAAGCAGGGTCGTCGTGGGCCACTCCGAGCACTTCATGAGCATCCCGGAAAAGTCGCACGGTGACCACCAGTCGCCTACTCTTTTCAACGAAGAACGTCGCTGTTATTCGGCAGGGCGTCTGAAGCGAGTCCGGCGAGCCTTCATCTCGCAAGTCACACATGACGACATCTCCTACGTACACCTTTGTGCGAGCCTGAGCGAGGAAATCATCGAAGTTGTGCTGTGGTATGCGTTGTACCAAGGTGCCGTGCATGTTGTTGCGCCTAGCGTTACGGGCAGGACGTGTCGGGAGTGGAAAAAGATGCTCGCCCGCTAACCCAAGCTTCTGTCCCTCTTCTTTTCCCACCACCGCGCCGCCAGGGTTGGCAAATATCTCCTCCATGTGAGATCTCGACTTCAGCATGAAATCGAGGACCTGTGTAATGGGGATGTCATACACCTTCGCTGTGGTTCGAGCACCACTCTTTTTCTTGTCGGGTTTGGCCACGACATCGCGCACCCAAACTTCAAAGAGAGGGAGGAACTCGGGCATCCGAGAAACGAACTTTTGGCCGATCTCGGGGACGTCAGCGGTGTCGAACCCTCTCCCCTCCCCGGCCCCGTCACCCGGCTGCCCATCGACGAACGTCAAGATGTCGAACAAATCCGTCATTCCCGTCCGCGATAGTTGATGCTTGACGCCGAACACGAACAGCAAAATTTCTGTCAGAGATTTGAACGGTCGCCACTCCTGAGCCCGTGTGCCTAACTGGCGTACCTTGGTTTTGGTTGGCCTACCTTCCATCACAGTGGCGTTAAGGCGTTTACCGATGGTGCCGGCAATGAACAACATATTCGCACGATTGAGAGCGAAGTATCTGATTGAGAGCGAGATCGTGCGATACGATGTAGCTTGTCTACTGCTGAGAGGTAGAGCTTGCTGTGCCGCTTGAATTGAAGGGCTTGCCCATAGCTACAAGCCGATACCCGGGTCATCCTGCGGGTGTCTCGCGTTGTGGAGCTACACCGCGGAGCAGAAGCTACGGGAGGGCCTACCGCGCCAGGTGACGGCGCCCTGAAACAGTTTCGGGCAGGAATAGCCAATCTGGGGAAATCTAGCAACGTTCGTAGCTCCTCGCTGCTGCAGCCGATCGCAGTGACACGCATATGCACGCGAAGCTGCTGAAGAGAGCTTCAATTTGCGCCGCTTTTTGGAAGAGCCCGTCCCCTGCTTCCCGAGAAATGACGGGAGGCGTCTGGACCCGAATTTCGATTTTTTTTGGTTCTCGCTCTCAATCGGAAACTCCGCTCTCAATCGTGCGAAAACCCTGTTAATGTTGGACATCCATCTCGGGTCATCCTGAGGCGGTGGCTGGCCGTGTTCAGCTCCCGAGGACGATCCGCCACCAGAAGAACGCTCCGAAATACTCGCCTGTTTATGGGGGGCCGCGGTATCCATGCTGTGTCCTGCGCCGGCATGGTCCTTTCCATCACGTCCCGCTCCGTCATCGTCGTCGTCGTCGTTGCGCTCGTCGCCCGATGAGCCCCTGTCTTCGTCATCCTCGGTATCTACCCCCGCCCCGACATCCTCTCGTGTGCCGGCCCAAGACTCAATGCTCTCGTAACCAGGGTCGTTTCCCTCAACCTCGACACCCTCCAGGGATGGTGAGCCGTCGCCGGCGGAGGACATGTCATCCTCGTGATGGTGGGCAAGTCCTCCCTTGCCGAAACCCTCGTCGTCGCCCCCCGCCAGGCCAGATGCTGCGCCAATGCGGCTTTCACCAACAGTTCCACCAGCGTCGACTTCTACATCAATCCCGCCGCTGTTACCATCCGCATCATCTCCGCCGAAATCACCGCCGTCGTCAATCATCATGTCATCGTCTTCGCCGCCGCGGTCTGACGACGATGCAATATCCTCACCGCCCTCCTCATTGGCAATGCCAGTAGCGGGAGTACCACCGATCTCCGGTCTCACACCGAAGCGTGCACGGGCGGCCCAAGCCGTGAAGACCGTCAGGTCTGTTTTTCGTGTCGTGTTTTGCGTCCCGCGCATCGGTACTACAGTACCGTGCATCCTTGGCTTGCCGTTTAACAAAATGATGCCAATGGTGTGCAAGATCACGATGGCGCGGGAAGTTCTGCCAGCAGTACGGGCAATAACATCCATGTCCGCCTTCGCGCGCCCGCTTACTGCTACTTCGTCGTCCCATCTAGCGATCATCACCGCGGTGTGTGCGATGACGTGTGTGCGGAGTGCGGACTGTTTACAATACGTACGTACGGACAGTGCCGTCG